ATACCAAGGTCAAATTCATAGCGTCAGTAAATAGATCCTTTGAAGCTCTACAGCTTTTGTCTGAAATGTTTTTTTCTAAAGTGTCGTGTTAACGAAAAAATCGGGTGAACCGGGTGGTCTGAAACATCCGGTACATATAATTACGAGACACAGAATGTCTCATGATAAATGTTGCAGAGCTTGTGAGTACATAGAGCGGGTTAAGACAAACATGAAAGTTTTATACCGCTATGCGAGATTCGCAATAATTATCGAATTATTAATGAGAGACAGATCTAACGAGTGAGCGCGCGCCGAAATGGATGACTGGAGAAGCGTCGCAGCCTCTCGGGTCAATCGATCTAGCAACTACTGGCAGAATGCTGCGAAACGTAGGAGTGGCGAAATAAAAAACGAATAGCGACACGTTGTCCGGCCGCTTGCCGCGCACCGGCAACAGTTTCTGGATCGACTGGGCCGCGCTCTGTCGATCCAGAAACTGTCGAAATAGCTGCAACGCTTCTCCAATCATCTATGTCGGCGCGCTCCTACTCTTCAGATTTCTGTCATTAATAACTCGATAATTATTGCAAATCTCGCAAAACGATATTGGACTTATATGATTATCTTAAACCGTTCTGTCTCTACGAGCTCTGCAACATTAGTTATAAGATACCCTGTACAACATAATACAAGGAATACATAAAAAAGTAAAGGAACAATTATCAGATAAGTAACTTATATTTATACACAATAAAGTATTAAGTAATTGAGAAAATTGAGCGAAACGCGGTACAAACAATTTTTCCAAGCGCTCAAATTATTGGCTGCTTTTTTTTCATTATAGTCAGGTAATAAAAGATAACGCGTACATAATAACAAATAGAAATGGATGTCAACTTTTCTTACATTATTTTCTTATTACAGGCAATAGTGCGGAACGCTGACAAACAAAAAATATTAAGAGGCGATAGAGAAGAAGTGGGTTGGGGAGCAAGTAAGCTCCTCTTATATCTTTGGCTCTTTTGCCCGCAGAAATAATAAAAGAAGGATTTGAAATAATAATTTCATCGAACAAATAATATTTCCGAGAGGCACAACCAGGAACTTTAAAAAAAAGCGTGAAGAAACATTCAACAATTGTAGACTTTATAGGTATATTGTGAAATTTCTATTGCTTTCTTCTTCAAAATTTTGTCAAATTATTATTCTTACAATTCATGATTATTTACAGCTAATTTGAGCGAGCACCAGAAAAACATTTACGTTTTGTCCTATCCTGCATTTTGGATGAGATCAAAGTGCGACACATTTTTACAAAGAGAACACGACCTGCGATATATTTGGAACAAATGAGAAAATATGGAAGATACGGATTTGTCGTTAATATTACATTCGTTATTAGAATTGGAAAAAGAAAAATAAATGTATAAATTTATAGTACCTGTTCTTCTCATAATTCTAGGTGTTCTATTTTTTTACTCCTTGATTTCTCATGGCTGTTGCATCATCCATTTTCAATATATGATTTTTCATCTTGCTAAAGAAATGTTAAAGTATCTATCCTCGAGGTTTCAGAAATCACAATCTGAAATAACAATAAAAGTTTGACATATGCGAATATAGATAACATATCCACTTTGTTAAAAGAAATCAAAATCAACAGACAACAGAGTACAAGTGTAATAAACACTGAGAAAGCCTGTCGAAGGCATCAATGAAAGTAAGATGATAAATATATTTTACGAACCTGCTTTTGGTTTGTCAATCAGTCGTTGCACTGCTGGTGACAGATGTACTTTTATATTCCATGTTAGATATAATTTCAAGTTTTCTTTCACCAGCACATGGTTAACTGGAAGGCTAAAATAACAAAATTGATTACAAAGCAACAATCAACCTGATAACATATGCAATTATTTTCAGTATATAGGTGCTTAATACTTTATTTTATATAAATATAAGTTACTCATCTGATATTTGTTCCTTTACTTCTTTATGTGTTCCTTGTTTTATGTTGTATAAACTTTATTCCACAGCTAACGATGATGGTACATTGATTCCAATGCAAAGAACGATGGAGTGATGCGCATCAAGGCACACACTGACAATTTTACTCCGCAGGAGATTGTTCTCCAGCTATAAATGTTCTGCAAGCATATGGTTTGCTGCGGAGCTGAAACAAGGAAATAAATTTAAGAAAAGAATCAGTCTGACAATATTCACAGTCACACAGACAGCACGTACATAATTAATCTTTTATTATATGTACACACACACACACACACACATATATATGAATATTAACTCTTATCTGATATTTGTTTATCATCCATTTGTTTCTTCTGCTATTTTCTTTGTGTAAACCTCTCTCTAATCTTGCACAGACTTCACTCCATAGTTAACGATGTTGGCAAAATAACTCCACTGCAATGAATTATGCCATAAATATGAATGATATTATGATGTATCAAAATTTAAACACACATTACAATTATACAATTGTATATAATAATAATCTATTAATTTATAAATATATATATTCACACATCTGTAATTATATTTTTATCTCGTTTATCTCCATGCACTCCACGTTTCCACCTAATCGCGTCATTTTAATATATTTTTATTTTAATTTGATGTCACATTATGTAATTTATATTAATTATGTAATTTATATTAATATTTACGAGGAATTATAATTCTTCGATATTTATTGTTTACACGCACCCACATTTGTCGAAAACGTTTCACAACAACGTTTCACAAACGTTTCACAAACTAACAGACATACTACTTAAATCGTGTTACTAATCAGAAATTAAAATTATATCGTCTAGAGGTTTTCGTTCGTACCAATACTATCTCCTCCACTTTTCAGGAAAATGAAGTCTAACTCAATGTTGACATCTTCTTTGCCGACGGAAGCCCGCCATGCACGCCATGAGACGGCCATCTTGGATTAGCTGGCGCGACTGACGACGGAGCATAGGGTGCGTTCCGTTTCACGCATACGCGCGCATTTATCTATAGTTTATGTCACATATATTATAAAAAATGCGCGCATATGCGTGACACGGAATGCACCCATAGACTCATTAGAGCGAAACTTAAGCCAGCGGCACACGGTGCTTGTTTTCGTGCTGGATTGCTTGCTGGATGAAAATACTGCGTTCTGATTGGTATATTTTCGAAGATGGATGGAAATGCACCAATCAGAATGCAATATTTTCATCTAGCAAGTAATTCAGCACGAAAACAAGCACTGTATGCCGCTGGCTTTACTAGCGCAACCGTACCTATGAGAGAAAGCGCTATCTCCCGGGTCAGGGCGTTCCGCGATTCCTGAGGCTATGTTCCGATATTCACTTCTAGCACAGAAAATCTATAGTATGTGCAACACAAATTATATATTTTCAGTACTGATAATGAATATTGGAACGCAGCCTGGAGTTTCCACCGGAGCAGCGGCTGTCGATAGCGGCGATTGGGTCTCCGGCGGCCAATCAGACGTCCCTATCGCGGAGCGCAGCTAAGCCGGTTGCACGGTCGCGGACATATAAGTAAACGACTACAATTTATAATTCTACCGTTCACATGAACCTAGGTTGGGTTTTATTTCCATCTGTCAATTCTTCCTGTGTTTACAAGCTAATTGAAGTTGACATGTCAGTATATTTGTTTTCAATGGAAAATTTGAAACAACGTGCAGTGATTGAGTTCCTTGTTAAAAAAGGTTTAAAGGCAATGGAAATTCATTTCGAGATGGTAAATGTGTTAGGGGAATCTGCTTCTTCAAAAACAATAATTTGTAAGTGGATACTTGAGTTTCAACGTGGTTGTACAAGCATTGAAGACGAACCACGCAGTGGACGTCCAAAAAGCGCATCAGCACTAGAAATCATTGAACAAATACATGTTATTGTTTCTGAAGATCCAAATGTGACTACGCGTGAAATTGCTCATACCATAGGCATTTCAGATGAACGGATACGGCATATTTTGCATAAAGAATTACAAATGAAAAAGGTGTTTGGAAAAGTAGTGCCACATACATTAACAAATTCAACAAAAACTCGCTCGAAAGCAAATTTCTCGGCATCATTTGGATCGTCTTAAGAAGAATAAAATCAATTTTGTGCGTCGTTATATAATACAAAGTTTATTCAAAAAGAAAAAGTTTATACAAGGAAATAAATTTGTTTTGTGATAATTTTTAAAACATGTTTAAAAAATACATTTTTTAAGTTTTTTTTATTATTACTATGTACTATTATTAAAGTTTTTAATAATATAACATGATTAAATCAAATTGGCTCTTTAGGCCGGAATCATGAAAAATTCCGTGGCAGTCAACGTGTTAATCGATATTGGATTTATTTTTTTGTCAGTACAGTCTTATGGATGAGACTTGGATCTATCACCATGATCTTAAATTGAAACAGGAACGTTTACAGTGAACTGAAGCTAGATGTTCAGCTACAAAGCAAACAAAGCATAAAAGATCGGCAAAAAAGGTTTTGACATCAGTTTTTGGGGATACTGAAAGGATTTTGTTAATTGACTATCTGGAAAAAGGTAAAACAATTAACTCTGAATATTATTGTAACCTTTTGGATCATTTGGACGCAAAAATTCATGAGAAAAGACCTGGTTTGCAACACAAACAAATCATTTTTCACCAAGACAATGCACCTGCTTACAAAAGTGTTTTGTCAATGTCTAAATTCAATGAATTGAAGTACAAATTGCTTGATTATCCACCGTATTCACCAGATTTGGCACCCAGTAACTTCTATCTGTTCCGAAACCTGAAACAATTCCTCCGTGGAAAGCATTTTTTGTCGAATGAAGCTATAGCAGCCGTAGAGGCATATTTCGCAGACCTTCCAGAAACACACTTCCGTGATGGAATAAAATTATTGGAGAGCCATCGGGCCAAGTGTATTGAAGTTAATGGAGACTATATTGAAGAATAAAATCATTTCTAGAATTAGGTATTCTTTATTTCAGTTTCGCTCTGGGAACTTTTCACGCAACCTGTGTTATAATAATACAGACTCAGATGAAATGGATACTCCAGCATTAAATGGAAATGAGGGAACACAGAACAGACAAAAATCATCCGATGTAAGTCTTATACTCCAGGGGACATCCGAAAAAGGTAGAGATAAACACGTTTATATTTTTAAAACAATACGAACTTAATTAAGAGAATTAAGCTGTGTTAGGATAGTTACGATTCTGTAATATATTTATATGTGATTTATTGTTTCAGCAACAGCCATCTTCTATAGCAGAAAAGCAATGATATTAGATACAGAAGCAGCTGTTATAGCGAATTTTGAATTTTTGGGACATACAGACATGGACATGGAAGAGGAAGAAGGAGATGGAGAGGATCAAATTTATGATGCAATTACGGATAAAGTAACGTTTACTATCATCTTGAGTTTGAATGATATTGTTCACGCTATTTGTTAACATAATTTCTTATTTTTCAGGCATCTATCCCCCCTTCTGGTGAAAGATGTTGATACCGATGCAGAGGCAGAAATATTAAATGAATAAAATCTCCTCACAGAAATTGAAGAATCGCCACCTGGTTCTATTCATCTGGATGAATGAATTCTTCAAAGGGGTTAGTAAATCCCTTTTTATTCGTGTACTTTAGGATAAAATATAAACCTGTTACAATAATAGCTATTTTGTAATATTGTCACATATTATCACATAATTTAATGATGCCTGTAGATTTATTACATAGAGGATTACAACAAGACCCAAGACACCCAAATAATAAAGAAGGCGGTGATTCCATGCTGGAATTAGGAGAATTAGAACAGTTATGTGTTAACAATGATGCAGAAATATCGTACGATGTAAGTTCCAACAATTTTCCCCTGTATTTCAGTCGAATCGCTTTTTTCAGCTATGTGAGAGTTACAGTTTGTGACACTCTTAACATATTATTTCTTGCGACACAGATGGTTCCCAGCACGAAGGAGACCTTCAGAAAAACATGGAATGCTAAATATGTTCGCATTTTGACGCTGTTAGAGCACTCGTCTTCCATCCTGCAAATCCGGTTCTTATTACCGCAAGCGACGATTACACACTGAAGTTTGTGGAATCTTCATAAGACTGTACTGACAAAAAAGTAAATCTAATATCGATTAACACGTTGACTGTCACGGAATTTTTCACGATTCCGGCCTAAAGAGCCAACTTGATTTAATCATGTTATATTATTAAAAACTTTAATAATAGTACATAGTAATAATAAAAAAAAACTTAAAAAATGTATTTTTAAACATGTTTTAAAAATTATCACAAAACAAATTTATTTCCTTGTATAAACTTTTTCTTTTTGAATAAACTTTGTATAATTGTATTTATGTAGTTAAAAAATAAGCAAATATATTGTTCACTATTATACTTTATTAAATTATATTAACAATATGTGTAACAGCATCTAGAAATTATATGATTCTTACTGAAATATATTATTTTTATATAATGGCTAAAAGAAAAATCATATTATATTAAGTATATTGAAAAAATATAACGTTCAAATATATATATATATAATTATTTATTATTATTATTTTATTTTTTTTTGTTTACGATGGGGAAATCCTCATGGATACCCTCGCTTCTTGGGGGGAGGCGAGGGTTATGCCGGACTCTTACCGGCTAAAACCCCACTGGGAGGAAATAAGGGTTCAGAAAATAAAGGCACACGTATTTTATATTATAAAAATTTTTTTAGTTTACCAATCTTCTTCTTCTACATCCGGTTTTACATTTTTATAATTATTAAACAAATCATTTAAATTAAACACATCATTTCTTCCGTGCCATAAATCATTTAAGATTTCTTCATCTACTTTTCTTTCCCCTAATCTAAAGTAATGTTTAATTTTTCGATCACTTATACTAACGTATCCTGGTATTTTAATGCCTGTTGCAATAGGCATGAGCCCACCGAAGCACTGAAAAAATTAATATTAATATTATTAATAATTATTATATTATAGAATATTTATAAAAAAACTTACTATTACTGCCGGGACTATAGCTTCGTGCTGGGCAGCTAACTTGCCCGGCATTTTATATGTAATGCCGTGCCTCGATGCACGGACTCTTTGCCTTTCGGCGATAGAAAAATACCCTTTAATTCTATTTGGTGTATAAACTTCCACTTTTCCACGTTCACAAAAGCACTGAAAAGAGACAAATATACAAATGACGAAGTATGAAAATAATACACACGCGCACAAAACTTTCAAATTACACTTTTCACATTACTTACAGCTATGGCATATTCCGCGAGCTTGTAGCGATTTTCTTTAATCTTTCTGAAAACTGTGTCGATTTCTATTTCTTTGATATCCATTTTCTTGATGATTCACTCGGTGCAAATTTTTCAGCTCTCTACCAAACGTCCGACTGATCGACTGACCGACGATTGACTGTCTGACGGTTGATTGTCTGTACGATAGAATTTTTTTGTTATCTCTATAAGAGGGTGGGGAGAGAACGAATAATTTGAGAGATGACCGTCGGCCGTACCGAACGGCGCGGTACATTTTTTTTCAAAGTGGCTGCGTGCTGAATGGCGAATCCTTGTCTTTATTGAAAACAAATAACCGTAGTCGTAAACTTTTATGTTTTATGGACCCGTTCTCTGATACGCGTGTATGAATGAGATTCGCCTTTCATGCGAACGAAAAGGTTGCGCTCCTCCTTTAGGTCTCTAATTAGGCATCTAATTTAATATTTTATTTGGCCTCTCAATAGCTTCTCAATATTTGTTGTTCCTATTGTAATAAATTTCATTGCAGCAGAAATTTCTCAATTTTAAACATTTTCCCTAAATTTTCGTTAACTGTATAGACTCACACTTTTCCATGTATAATATTGTTGTAATGGAACTCTAATTTATTATATAAGTTTGTCCTTTGGTCGTTGCCCACGGTATGATATCTCTTGTACTATGTCGTTAATTTCATCGCAATCAATATGTATATGAATTTTTATCTCAAGGCTGAGATTACGCAGTGACTCATGCTTTTTAAACATAATGTCCTTGCGATATAGTTCCAATTTATTATTTAAGTTTGCCTCTCAATCACTTTTCAAGATGTCTCGTGTCTTATATGTAAAATGTAGAAGATTGAGACATTTCTACTGCAATGAAATTTATGGCAAGGTGTAGGCGACAACACATGTTGAGAAACAATTGAAAGGCCAAGTAAAATAATAAGTTAGAACTATAACACAATGATATTATGTCTAGAAAAGCGCGAGTCTCTGGTTAGTCTCAGTCCTGAGATGAAAATTCTTAAAGATTTTAAGATTTCGATTGCGTTGAAAGTTAATGACAATGTATAGATGACAGCATATATTAAGAAGCAATTGAAAAATAGGCTAAAATGATAAATCAGAGCTACAACACGACGATATTATGTTTAGAAAAGCGCAACTCGGTATATTTAGCAAAAACTTAAGGAAAAGTTATTAAATATTAGATACAAATCTATATATGTATATATATATATATGTATATGTATGTTTATTTGGCGAGACGGCGCCACATCAGTTATAATAACAATCGGCAGACGCATGACGTATGATAATTGCACCAACAAGATGACCGGAAGAGAGGCGGAGACGCAGCGGCTATCGAGAAACGCAGCTGCGCTCTGATTAGTCTGAGTTGACGAGCTGGCCACCATTTTCTGCGGTCGCCATTATAGTCTCGATACCGGCCAGTAATAATCTAATCCTGCTATCATCGCTGACCCCGCTTTCTCTCTCTCTCTCTCTCTCTCTCTCTCTCTCTCTCTCTCTCTCTCGATGGACGGCTGACTGTTCGGTGAATCATTCTGACGATTGCGGGCTGCACTCGGTTATTAGAGAAGTTACATCGTCAACACCGTCTATAGTTGCATGATGATGACCATCGTCACACTTATGATAATCAGCATAACAGGATCGGTCTTGACAGAAACGTCTCATGTTCATACCGTTCGGATACCACAATGTATACGCGTACACCACTAAACCGGTGTTTACAAACAGTACACACGAAGTCGGATTGTTTTGGCGGCAATTGAACTCCGGTCGCAAAATGCAATATTCTGATATCGATCCGTCAGGATGATCCGGCCGAGCGTTATCGCCGTTATCGGCGTTAATTTACGTTTGCAGATAGGCAACATGGCGCGCGCTGTCTCCTCCGCCTCGACTTCGCTGATCTCGCGATCCCCTCCTACTATTCTTACTCGGTCTATTCCGCGCAAATCAGGGCACGTGTATGTATATTGCCGATTGCGACATTCGGCGTGAAGACGTTTCGGGTTCATTATGTAGAACTTGTTGTGCGGTATCCTGATACTGAAATATGGAAAATCAGACCACGCTATAGCCGAGTTGAAACACAGATCGGTAAAGACACCGGCCGTTATACTGCGATTCAATTTCATGCACAAGTCCTCACGCGTCTCGCGCAAAAACTCGCCGTTGTACGTCCACACGACACCATGCGCGTCCAAAGCATCGTTGCGCGCGATCACTAGGTTCCGCGCGAATCTCATGTACCCGGGTGACCACTCGACGTTTCGAGAGAACATTCGCCTCTGATCCACCGGACGCTCCGCGCTTACGTTTGTCGTTACAACGACTCTCCGATCGTCCGAAGTTAAATGGCCTACGTCGTCGAAGACCTCATTCAGTGCTCCATCACGCTGTGTCGCAACTCGTCCGGGTCCACGAGAAAGCCGATCTCTTGCGCGAACGCGCTTCCGTCGTTCCACGATTGCGACATGTATTGCACCAGCACACGGTCGTTCACGAGACCTTGCACGGATACATGAAGCGTCATACATGCGTTGGGCAAAATACCGCCGTTGTTGGCCAGGTAATCGCGATCTCGACGTACGCCGATATGTACGTATTGGAACTCGTGTTTCTGCCGAGGCATCAAGTTCTCCTCGTCCACGGCGTCGCCGCAATAATACGCATAGTTGTCGTCGCTTAGCCTGCCAAGGTCATCGTCACAAATCAAGTGTTGCTTGAGCGGACAAGGGCCGCATGGATTCGGCAACCACACGATAATACGCCTATCGTCCTTCCGCTGATACTGCAGAAGATCGCGAAATCTTTTGTCTACTTTGCTTGAACTGAGGGCCAAATCGTCATCATTGCGTTTTTCGCCGTACAACAGCGATGGCCATTCGGCAAAGGTCGCCTCGCGGCAATACGGACCTATGCGTTGCTCGTCGTATTCGTCGATCCAGCCGTCGTCGCACTCGCACGAGCCGCTCACGAACGGATCAATCAGCGACGCTCGCGAACGTTCGTCCAGTCTACCGTGCCCGTTGCAACTAACGTCTCGCGAACACGATGAAAGCGGTCCGCTCACGTTGGTCATCAAATGCGGATACTTGCACCTGCACGCAAAGTTATATGAACTGTCCATGGGGTTATCGGTCGCGCGTTGTCGCAACAATATCCAGTCTGCGTTGACGGCGCGACATTCGCGTCGCACGCGCCCCAGAGCGCTCTTTTCGTCGCCTGCAGCATCCTGGTCACCGGCCAAGTCATTCTGATCCCGCAAACTCCGAGCAAGACTATCACGCATATAATAACCCAAATGCGTATTCGCCGGCAACACCACATCCTTGCCGCTCGACTCATCACTCACCGTCACCGACTCCGACACGTGCGCACATATTCGCATCGAAAAGCGCGTCTCGATACATTCAAAGCACGCAATGTAGCCGTCGTCTACATTGCATTCCACCGATTGCGAAAAGTCATCGCAG